GACCTATCGGCTACAAAATGGAGGTTCCCACGACCTCCCCCTTAGGTTTGATTTATCTGCTAGAGCGGCTTACAGAACTCAGGAAAACACTTATGTTTACCAATTTAACAAAGGATACAAGTTAACAGCCAGATGAAGAGGTACATAGGGCAAGGCCCCAAATAAAGGAGCTTCTATCCTCGTGGAGCTTAGGGCCTGGGTCCCCAAGCATAGATGCTTTCCCCAACAGAGCAAAAGACAGAGAAACAAGATCTAACTGAGCAGAGCAGAGCTCTCTTCTCAAGGGTTTTTTGAGGGTTTCATTGCATAGTCAAGACTGACTAAATCATTGCCATTGCCTGATTCAGCCTCCAGCCCCTGCCCTTGGGTGGGAGTCTAGAAATCTCTCATTAACATGACAAAACACCATTTCACCTTTAAGACTGCAGTGTTTTCAGGAACTGTGGATGCAGACCAAACAGACCAGAGAAAGACCAAACATATGAATGAACAAATACGTACTTCTTATAACTCAGTCTTTCACAGATATCAAAGGTGTCTACTTCCTTCATTCACAGTATTCATAAAATTATAAAAATTAAATTCATTTTTCCCATTCAGTGTCTTTTGATAAACCCCAAAGCTCTGTGAGATTGAAGAGCTGTAGAGATAAAGTTACAGAACAGAGAAAACAAATCACTAGACATCTATGACCAGTTTAATGACAAAGAAAGACAAGGCCCTCTGCCAGTCTGGGTAACAAGTGGGGGCAGGCAGAAGGCAGAGGTGCTACCCATGCCCAGCCACCCTGTATGGCATGATGTGAGAGCAAAGTATCTGCTGACTCTCAGATGTATAATTACCACCAGGGTGGGGTATAATTAAAGGAAGGATAATTTATCTTGAAGAAGATGAAAATTAAGATTTATTAATGATCATAATTATTAGCCCTTTATATTTAAAAATCACGAAATGTTTTACAAGCTATAATTATCACAGCTCCTCTCAGAAGAAGGGATCCATATCTTACAGCTCCTCACTTACCAGAAGGGTAAAATAATGGCAAGTGGCAAGGCAGAGAGGGGTGGAGTAATGCCTCCTGAATCATCTGTCCTTTTATGTGGCAAAACTAGAAAGAAGCCTCAGAAGGGCTGGCTGGCTCCCATGATGGTGTATGCTCTCATCCCCAAGCCATCACTCAAACCCACAGAACTCCCTCCCAGATCAAGCAGCTCATCCCATTCTGATCTGTTGGCCATTTAAACTGCCACAATGCAATAAAATTAAATCATATCAGCAAGGGTTTTACTAAACACCTAGGAGAAATAAAAGATAAGCATTGCCTTCAAGGAACTTGAAATCTAATCAAGAAGACAAATCATTAAATTAGAGAAAAATATGGAAATTACACATTAACTGGTGCCAGGTTGTATTATGCTGACTATTCATGCAGTGGAAATTTTTTTAAGTGGAAGATCATCATGTGTGAAGGTCAAGGAAGGTTGGGGAGGATTAGAACTTTGTAGGACCTCAAAGAAAACATGTTAGGTTTTGGACTGGCAGGGGTAGGGATCCCATGGAGTGGGTCAATGAATAAGAAGATACAATGGAAGAACTTGAAAGGTTTAACTTTAAAGAAAAGGTCTTCACTGGAGCAGTGTTGAGAGAGTTTACCAAAGAACGCTACTTTTTAAAAAGCCATCTAAAATCATCCTACTTGGACATTTTCCCACAGCTCCACATCGTGGCTCATACTGGGTTCTGGCAAAAACCATTAGACCGAGTGTTAGGCTGCAGGCATCAGGGGAAGGGGCGAGCCTGATGGGCAAGCTCAGGCCTTACCAAACAAGGCCAAGAGACCAACAGGTTCTCGTCTGACAACATTCCAGAGCCTGATAGGATAACCCTCCCAACTAGAGCCCTTCCCCCAACCTAAAGGATAGTGGTAACTTTCCAGTACCTGGCTAAAGGCCAATGAGAGACCCCCACGTACCCTAGACGAGCCAATCCTCACGCCACTGTACACCTTTGCTCTCCCTCCCCCTGCCTTCTTTAAAAACTTGCTGCCTGCCCTACTGGGTGTGACTTCCCTGGCCTGTGTTTTAGACCACGGAACATCACCCGGGGGTGGCATTCAAATAAACTACCTGGCCCTTTGTTGCCTCTCTTTGCCTGCTTACTTCGGTCAAAATTTATTGGAATTTATCTTACACCAAGGATGACACTGGTACCTACTCCGCTTTTTCTAAATTTTTATTTTGGAGGTTTCCTAGGCCTAGTAGAATGCCACAGAAATGTCAAATCTATTGCCTACTTTTTCTGGGTTCTGACAGGAGAAAATGAGTCTTTGAATGAGATAAAGATCGGGAAAATCGAATACTTCCTTAGTTCTGTTTGTTCATCCAGAAGATTTCCAAAGATTTCAGCACAGATGAGGATTCATGACTGATGTGACATTTATGCATCTGAGTGATATAAATTTTATTTCCTTTTCTCAATTGCTGTAATAAAAAGCTCAAGTTTCAAAGCCAAGTAACAGTACAATTCTGTAGCTGTGCTCTACATCCACTGGTTTAACCCTTAATTAAGGCATTCTGGCAGAATGGAGCAGGGAGGGGCACTTGGGTCATTCCTGGGCCAGTCAGTAATATTCTCAGACCTCTCAATGGCTCAGTCTCCAGGCTTATCAAAGAAAGATAACGAGACATCTTGTCTCTAAAGAATATGGAGATCATCAGATTATAAAAACATCATTCCTTTTTGATGAACCACAGTGAGTGGATACTGGGAGTATAAAGCAATGAAAACTATTTCCCTGTCCAAAGAGTGTATCAGGAGCTCCTTTTAAGATGATATTTTTCAATATGACACTTTGTTAAGGTAAAAGAACATCATACAGCAATGACAACCACTTCATTAGGAGACTATCAAAGCTGATTTTATAATCTAGCATTTGAATCTACTTATAATCTTTCTGTTAATGGACCAAGAGCAGCAAGGAAAAGAGGCTCATTCTCTTAGGTTTATTTAGGTTTTTAAATATTTTTCTTAGGTTTTAAATATTTGTAACTGACTTTAAACAAGAGCGAGTAAGAAAGAAAGCCATCAATGGATTTAAGATCTAGCTTTGTTTAGAGTGGGGAAGGAGTTTCTGTTACTATGAATGCAATTTCAATCATTTTCCAAGGCTGTTCAGAAACATCTTCCTTTTGAGTTTGCCTCTGTATTGTTTGTTCTTGTTCAACCATGATTTTAGAATGATTAATGTTTTCCCTTTATTCTCACAGAAGCCAACAAATATCCAGTCCTCTTTTGGGTGTACTGACTATACACAGGTAATGGCATCACATAAACGCATACCACCCCAGGCTGAGCTTCTCCAACAGATCACACATAGATGGATAAAAACAGAATCATATGTAAGGCAGAGTTTGCCCAGGGAATTCCATGAAGGATATCCATAAAAAAAGACTAGTACCCTCTCTGAGAGAAAGAGGCTCCTTGATGATTTGTAGTTGTAGTATACACAGTACTCATGACCCTAAATTGAAGGGAAAAAAGAAATCTTTACTCTTCACTAAGGAGCTGTTACATCGTTTGCTAACTTATCCCAAGAAACAGTAACAGCTCTAGGAAAAGCCCCAGATCACAGACCTCAGTGCTAAGAGTCCTTAAGGACAGAGAAAGTGGGCCAGACTTAAAATTGTCCTCCCATTGCCTATCACTTCCATTTCCTTCTTTACCTCACCTCTGAAATGGCAGCCTAAGTAAGGGGACAAATAGAATTCAACTCCACTATCATTTGGACCAATCTGCATATAAAGACATAGCCATTGAGATTTAGGTTCCCAATCTTCACATTCCATTGATGGACCCTACAGAATCTCCTCAAAATTCAGAAAACCAATACTTGCCTCTGGTTAGACAAAGGAGGGAATAGAAATGTCAAAAGCCACTGAATCATTTCATTGTGTCCATGAACCTATTATGAACCAAAGTTTCAGACAGTTTGAAATGTAAGTGGGAATCACTGACAAGGGATAAAACCCAGTTCCCTGCAATAAAACAGCACTGAGATTTGCAAATGATCACGAGGGTTGAGAAAGCCCTGACAGATATAATGGGCTAGAATGACTGGTTACCTTAAGTTGCTTCCAGGAGAAGGAGACTCAAGTGTTTAGGTGTCATAATCATTAGTAACTTAGGCTGCACAGGATGATTATATCTATAATAACACATTACACCAGCTCTTCTGTTCCAGGGGCATTAATATGCTAATGAAAAGAAATGAGCAAACTTCATTTAGATGAAATATCCCTAAGAATGAAATTTCACAGATTTCAAGTTCTCTTATGAATAGTTTAATGAAAATGTAGTTTTAAAGTACCCTCCATAATTGTTTACTAAGGAGGCAATTCCCAATCTGTAAGAAAATCATCATTAAACCCAAGAACACAAATGCAACTTTATTCCTGCCTGCAATTTTAAAGAAGAAATTAAAACCAATTTCTTACACCCACCTATTGTCCTAGAATTGCTTCAGGCAGGTCCCCATGGACTGTCACATCCTAGGGAGAAATTAATTGGTTCTTACCAGTTTATGTCAAAGTTTCTGTTTAACCCCAACCTAGAACTTATATCTTTTACAAAGTAACTGGCTCAGGGTTACCACTTTTTTAATGAAGTCATAAGTAAAATTCTGAATATTAATTCCTTTGTTTTATTGTTTTATTTTTTAACAATTAAAGAAAATCAGAAATTTTGTCAAATATTCTATCCTTTCATATTATGTGTGGCCAATACTCTAACTTGCAGAAAGGAAGGTCTGTGAATCTCATACCAAATAGATACATGAGCAAATAGTAAGATAAACAAGCCCTTCCCGGAGACAAAGGTGGAGCTGGGCTTGATTAGGAATGAATCAGGTAATTACACAGAGTGGGTGCCTCCTTCCCAAGCTGCTCTTCAGGGCACAGTTAAAAACCCTATAAAAGGTTGCAGCTCCCGGCTACCCAGTACACTTGCCAGAAGTGTCAGTGAGCACTCGACTTTTTCCTCTGGCGAAGTGGGTAAGTCCCCTTCAGTGGGATCATGTTCTTCATTTTCCAGCTCTTGTAGATGTTGGGGGGTAGCAGGAGAGGAAGGCATATGTGCTAGAAGGCATCATTATCTTACAGTGACATATAACTCCCAACTCTATGCCATCTTCTTATGGAATGGAGACATGACTCTTCTCCCAAGGCTCTGAACTCTGTAAGTTTGTACATCAGGGGTTGTTGTATGGTCATGTGTGACTCTGTTGGGGCTCATCTTCCTAAAAACTGCCATCTCAAAAGTTTGCCAACCCTCTGTTCTCTTTTTATATTGGTTCTACTCAATATAGGCCATTTTCATGTAGTAATGGCATCTGAGGTACTGGAGTTGAGAAGTAATTAAAGACGCCAGTTAGATGAACCACTGTGCTTACCTCATCAGTAAAGCTTTCCACGTATTCTTTCAGCATGGATCTACTGCTGGCTCAGTCCTGTTTTTATAATGCCAAGATTCAAATGGTTTATTTGGGCTTAATAAGAGCTAACCATAGACCAATATTATTCAGTTTTCAAGTTTAATTTGACCCACTGACTCTGGTAGCCAGTCAGGAAGTACCTCTCAAAAGCTTTCAATAATTGAGTATCTGTAACATACCTGAGCTAAGATAGATAACATGCACTCTCTGTTTTCTGCATTGGTATATCCGAATATCAGAATGCCACCTTTGACTAGAAATAATTAGTGCTTAATCTTAGAACTGGTGGCTTATCAATTACTGCTAGATCTCTTACAAACTATAATGTTGGGAAATAATCCATATTTTTGTATTATTTTAGTTACCACCAAACGTTTTGCTGCCACTGTTATGTGTACATGGCTTCTATTTATTTTAGGATACTCTCAAATCTTCCTTTACACTTTGTCTTTCACTTATCCCCTTTGTTCAACTTTAGAGGATTATGCTTATGAGAGCAACATATCAAATTTAAATTTCTACATTCTTCTCTTCACATCTGAACATCTGAACATCTGAAATATGTTCTCAAGCAGGAAGAGACTGAAGGAGAGAATATGGATAATCCAGATTTGGTGAACAATCCAGAGCTGACTACAAGATAGTTGGAAAATAATTCCCTGGTTTGAAATCTGTCTTCCCCAAAGTGCAATATTCAAAGAAAATGTTTTGAAAGCCCAGCTTGAAAATAACTACTGTTGTAAAGTCAAATTATTTAGGAATCTACCTGAAATAGAACAGGTGAAACCTCCCCAAGATGAGAAACAGAGTTCTGATTCTAGACACTATTTTATTGTTCTAGGTTTACTTGAACTTGAAGGAAAAAAAATGTCTCCACTTCTGAAAAGCATCTTCGATATCACTGAAGTTTTCAATCAGTGTGCCTCACATGACTGTGATAGGGCAGCCCTAGCCAAGAAAAACCTGAAGAACCTTCTTGAAAGAGAATTTGGAGATGTCCTTCAGGTAAGAATAAGAGAAGGAAATCACTCTATTGATTTGGGGTTATGAAATTTCTTTTTGGGAGGGACCAGAGCAAGGAATGGTTACTTCATATTCATTTTATGCCATGAAAGCTCTACACGATATCCTCCATTCATTTCTGAGTCTGAAAGTACTTAATGGGCAGAGTAGCCTGAATAGTCTTAAAGAAGTTGCTAGCAAGTATTTCATGTACTTGATGGCAATGGCAATGTGAACTGTTCATGGGAAGTTACACCAAAGATGTCAGGTCAAACTAAACTTGGGAGGAACTTTACTTCCAAATTACATTTCATTTCCAAGTTAAATTTACTTTCAAATTGCAATAATTAGAACCAACCTGGCCTGTAGTAAAATGGTGTTGCCATAAATGTTTTGTTCTGTTTTCAAACATGGGATAAATCAAATCAGGGATATAACTTCAGACAGAAATGGCTGCTGCAAATCTTCATGTATTTCCATTGTATTGCTCTCTTGGGGATGAGTTCATTCTTTTCCCCCAGCTAAAGAGAACTTGGGTTATTCTGATCAGCATTAAATCACAAGATGCTGGTGGTTTGCCATAGGGAAGAACGGGGTGGGGACAGGAAACAGGGAAGAGAATGAGAGGTACAAATTTCCAGTTATAAAATAAATGACTGTGATGAAAAGTACAGCATAGGGAATACGGTGAATTCATTATGTACATAATCGTTGTATCACTGTTGTACACCTAAAACCAATATAATATTGTTTATCAACTATACTTCAATAAAAGCAATAAATCTGAATATGAAAAAATTGTGTATGCTTCAAAATGAGATGTTCACATTTTACATGGGAACAATACTTGATAATCCCTGGGCGCTTTTTAAATTGCTCTTAGTGTCTTTTGAGCGTCAGAATACCGTAAAATATGCATTGCATGTGAAAGTTTATTACCTGTAAATAATGCATTTAAAATTCGTGTTTCCATTTTTTTCAGAGACCACATGACCCTGAGACTGTTGATCTGATCCTGGAACTTCTTGATCGCGACTGTAACGGACCTGTCGATTTCAATGAATTCCTCCTGTTCATTTTCAAGGTGGCTCAAGCTTGTTACTACGCTCTTGGCCAGGCTTCGGGGCTGGCTGAGAAAGGAGCCAAGGGTGAGGAAAAGGAGAACCTGTTACAAGATCGCGGGCAAGAAGACCAAAGGGGATTGGAGCCCCAGAGACGACTGGAAGAAGAGCGCAGGGAGAAGAGGAAGCTTGCTGAGGAAGAGGAGCAAAGAGAAAATTTGCAAAAGGGACGTGAGCAGCAGCTGCAGAGGCGAGAACGGGAAGAGCGCCGTGGGAGGCAAGAGCAGCTGCGGAGGCCCAAGAGACGGGAGCCTGAGGAATTTCCTGACCAAAAGCAAAGGCAGAAGCGGCAGGAGCAGCGGGAGAGACAGCGCCTGGAGGAGGAGCGGCGCGTACGCCAGGAAGAAGAGCTACTGCAAAGGCAGGAGCGGGGGAGGGAGCGCCCCGAGGAGAAACGACAGCGAATGAGAGAACGTCAGGCACAGGGCGACAGGGCGCCTCAGGAGGAAGAGGAGCAGATGCTGAAACTAGAGAGGCAGGAGCAGAGAGAAAGCCAGGAGCTGAAGAACACGCGACAGGAGGGAGAGCAGCAGCTGTTACGGCAGAGGCGCTGTCGCGAGGAGCGTGAGAAGCAAGAGCAGGAGCTGGCGGAGGAATCGGAGCAGGAAGAGGCCGGCGAGCGGGCCGAAAGCCGCACCCCGAGGCGGCAGTGCCAGCCAGAAAGCAGAGCCGACGCCCGTCACGGTGAAGGCTACTCGAAGCTGGAGGCAGAGAGGAGGCGGCGCCAGGAGCGCGAGCTGCTGCTGCAGGAACCGGAGGACGACGCCCAGAGGCTGACCCGGCCTCTGCCCCTCCCGGGGGAGCGCGAGCAGCCCCCGAGTCGGGAGCAGCAGGCGCGTCTTAAGGAGGAGGAGAAAGAACAGCGCCGCAACCTCAAATGGCAGTGGCAGGAGAAGGAAGAGAGCGAGAGGCACCGCCAGAGGCTATGGGTCAGGCCCCCGTTGGTGCAGCAAAAGGAGCGTCGGCTGAGGGCGGAGAAGCGCCAGAAATGGGAACAGCTGTTCGGCGAGGAAGGGGAGGAGCAGCGCCGCCAGCTAGTGCCGAGGGAGCTGGCGCAGCAGTTCCGCTTGGAAGACAGCCTGCACGAGGATGGGAAGAGTCGACGAGAGGAGGAGCTGCGTCGCGACCAGAGATGGAGGTGGCAACTAAAGGAGGAAAGCCAGATACGCCGCCGCACGCCGTACGCCAAGCCAGCTCAACGCGAGCAGCTGAGGGAGGACGAGCAGCTGCAGAGCGAGGAACTCGCGAAGAGGCGCCAGGAGCGAGAGAGACAGTATCTGCAGAACAAGGAGCTGCAGCGCGAGGAAGGGCAACTGCAGAGGGAGAGGCGGCGCGACTCGCAGGAGAGACGAGATAGGGAGGAAGAGCAGCTGCAGCTAGAGGACCGCGAAAACGGGAGGCTGCAGGAGCCGGAGAGACAATATCGGGAAGAGCTGCAGCAGGACGAAGAGCGACTGCAGAGGGAGAGGAGGCACCAGCAGCAAGACAGGCAGTATCTGGAGGAGGAGGCGCTGCAGCAGCTGGACAGGAGGCGACGGTTCCTAGATGAGGATCAGCGCCGCGGTCTGAAATGCCAGTGGCAACCAGGAAAAGAAAATGAAATTCGTAGTAACAGAGTTTACCCCAAACGCAGAGAGAATGAAGAAAAGATCCGGCATTTGGAAGATTCCCGGGTGCGGGAGAGACCATACCAGCAGGATCGGTGGCCCCTGCAGGCTGACCAGGAAGAAGAGAGCGCGCGAGAGCAGTCGAGGAGCTGGCAGCAGCGCGAAACGCAATTCCCAGCCGAAGTGCTGCAAGGAGAAGAGCGACCGGAAGCCAAAAGGCGAGACAGGAAGCTCCTAGAGGACGAGCAGCTACTGAGAGAGGAAAGGAAAGAGAGAAGACGACGTCAGGAAGAAGATAGAAAGTTCCGTGAGGAGGTGCAGCTCCTGCAGGAAAGGGAAGAGCAACGACTGCGCCGCCAGAATCGAGATGGTGCCTTCTCCGAAGATGAACAGTTGTGGCGCGTAGAACAAGAGGAAGAACAGAGGCGCCTGCGGCAGAGAGGCAGCAAGTTCCTTGAGGAAGAGCAGAGCCTCCCGCAGGAGCGAGAAGAAAAGCGACGCGGCAGGGAGCAGGACAGGGAGTTCTGCGAGGAAGAGGAGCTGCAGCATGAGAAGGAAGAGCTGAGGCGCCGGCAGTACCCGACGAAGGAAAAGTTTGCCGGGGAAGAAAAGAGGCGTCGTCCGGAGCAAGAACTTCGGCAAGAAGAGCAGAGACGCAGCGAGGAGCTGGAGTGGAAATTGCTGGAAGAAAAGCTCCGCCACCAAGAGCGCGACCGCCAGCAGAGCCGTGGCCATGGCTGGGAGGAAGAAGACAAGGGCCATAGGCACGTGCTGGAGCCCAGCAAGCGTCAGTTTGCCGGTGCCCCGGTGCGCCCGAGCCCACTGTACGAGTACATCCAAGAGCAGACATCTAAATGCTGCCCTTAAGAGATGCTGCCAAGACACCCGTCAAAGCTGAGAGCAAAGGAAAATGAAAAACACTTGGTACCAAATGACTCAAATGTTTCTGGTTGTGGGAATACTCTCTTATGTTAGAATGTCTTTTTCATGTACCTTGTACTCCTGCCTTTTACTCTTCCTCAAGTAGTTCTTCACTGTGAGGTGTCTTAGGTGTTTGGTGCAGATACGGTGTGCTTTTTTAAAAACAAATCATTTAATTAGTTTGGGGAACATGTTAATTTGTTGCTTTCAAAGGTAAGAATATCACAATTTGAAATTCAAAAACATTGGGTCTTTTTTTTAATGGTTGGTCCATCCTGTGGAGAGTTCTGGTATTTTTAATATTGGCATTTCTTCTTGGGTCTAAGTTACATTGATTTTTACTTCCAAATAGCGTCTCATCTTTTGTGGCATAATTAGCACAGGTTCTTCAGGGGAACTGAAATTTTACAGCAACCCTTGAATAGCTCATGGGGAGTGACTTATACAGAAAAACTCCCTGTGAAACCAGCCCATAACTGGAAGAATACCTGTTAAGAATAAGGTTTAGCTTGAAGACTTGGAATTTGAATTAGACATTTTTTACACTTAACTCTGTAAACACTTAAAATCCCATTAAACAAAAGCAAAGTGTTTCTCAACTACAGAGCTCAAATTTTAAAACTATGTCTGCTGTACTCTGTAGTGCTCAGTTCTCTTCCCCCAGTCTTCGAGTTTGAGAACAGTGCTACCTATGTTAATTTTAGCTGAGGGGGAACTTGCTCAGAATCCTGTAAACATCTCTTTTGCTTTAGGGAGTAAGAGATTACAGAGAGCATTTTTGGGCAGGGAAAGGGAAAAATCTGGACAGAGGGACAAGTTCCTAGAGGCTTTTTGACGAGACCCGTTAGCCCACAATCACTTGAGGCCTATTGATACTACCTTGGAGACATTCTTGTTGAAATAATAGGACTGTGTGAAGTATTAATAATAAATGTTTGGCAAACAATTATTTTTCTCTATTTTTACTATGCACCAAATCTTAACTCAAGATCTAACAGTCTGTAAGCTAACATAAGTTCTCAATCACTTAAGGGTATTTGGTTACTATTTATGTCTACATATGAAAACAGAAAGAAAAAAAAAACTATTTTCCCCAACCATTTTTCCTTGTTAGGGTGAACCCTGTATTACTTCCTTCCCCAATTCACAATTCTCTTTCCAAATTTCTATGTTTTTGACCCCACATCTTTCTGTGCTTTTTCTTGCACTCACCAGTCACATCAAATAATGGTGCCCCCAGTATTTGTTAATATTTCCTTCTGAGAATGCAGCAGCTTCTTGGTCTCTGATGTTTGATGAACCAATGTCCTGAAAGTTCAGCTCAGCATTATAGAAATTATAGATGACTTGTTCAAGTAAGCAACACAGTCCATGAAATAACTTAGAATGTGCTCAATAGTAATCAGGCCTAAAGTATCAAATTACCATCTAATAATCCAAACACCCCTGTGCCACCTGCTGGAGTCAATATTTAATAGTATTCACATCATGGTAACTTGAAATAAGTACAAGAATGCCCTTATCCAAGATAGCATCATTTCTAATTGTGAAGGTCATGAATGAGAACTTGTTCTAAGTATAGACACTCAACATTTTGGTCAATGGTGAAGATGAGAAAGCTAAGCCTGTAGGTCCTGGGCATCATTCTGATAGAGCAAAGTGCAAAGAATACAAGCCTCTCTCTCACTTTAACACAAACAGCAGATGTCCACCAAAAACAAAACCTGGGAATCCCCTGACATTACCTTGGAACTTCCATCTCTTTCAAATGATTTCTAACTGCAAAACTATTTTTCTCCTAAGGCAACTGCATGCTTTTCACTAATTAAGGATCTTCATAGACACCTTCACTTGCTTTTCCCAGGATCCTCTTAAAGGGCATTCATTTCAGAGCCTCCTTATAAATGCCAGCCCCTAGGATACTCCTGAAATATACACTCATCATCTAAGCTACATGTAGTTCAACAAAAACAATTATGGTAAAAACAATCAAAGCGCTTCAGACTCCTTGTAGCACTTTACAAGATGAAGGAAGAACCAATTTCTAAAGAAGAAATTGTTTCATCACAGTTACAATAAAATGTAGTTTAAAAAAAATGTGCCAGCCAGTTCATGCCCTTTGGCTCTTCTTTCACCATGCTGGCAGGCCAAGCCTCCTGCTCCAACTAGATAATGTACATGCATGGGCAGAGCTTTGAGGCTGTTGAGCAACTGGCTGCTTAACTATAAACTGGGAGCTGTACTAACATCACTTTGGCTCCTGCTGTTAAGTGGGGTTGAGGGTTTAATATGCTCTGTAATGGAAAAGTTGGTTTCCACATGTTATGGGCTAAATTATATCCCCCACTAAATTTCTATATGTTGAATTCCTAACCCTCAGTACATTAGAATGTAACTGTATTTGGAGATAGAGCATTTAAATACATAATTAAATTAAAAAGAACTCATTATGTTGACCCTAATCCAATATGACTAGCATCCTTATAAGAAGAGGAAATTTGTGCACAGACACAAATAAGAGGAGTAGGATATGAAAACACAGGAAGAAGATGACCATCTACATGGTCCTCACGGCCCACAGAGAAAAACCACCTCTACTGACACCTTGATCTTAGACTTTTAGCCTCCAGAACTGTGAGAAAATTAATTGCTGTTGGTTAAGCCACCCAGTCTGTGGCACTTTGTTATGACAGTTCTAGTATACTAATATCCCATGTAAAGTGAGCTATGTTTCTAGGGAAACCTGTTTTGTGATGATCTTTGTCCTTTGACATTGTACAAACACATCCTGGTAGCACAAAGTCAATTTTTTTTATTAAATCTGCCATAGGTTCTATGGTCCAATGGAAGGAATTAGAAGCCTGAGGTTCACTCATTCATTCAGCAAATTATTGAGGTCCTGTTATGTGCAAGGCATTCTAGGCAATAGGCTTTCAGTGATGAAGTAGTAATTTTGGCCTGTTCCTTCACTTTACTATCTATGTGTCCTCAGCAAGCCACTTAATCTTTCTGGGTTGCCATTGTTTCATATTTAAAACTACAAAGCTGGGATAGCTATCACCACGGTTATTCCCAGAACTGGAAAAAAATGTACTTGAATTCTACCATTTAGCTTATTAAACTGAAACTCTCAGAGCAATTCAATCTTTCACCCCAACTTCTACTTTTAGCAAACAGAAAACAAACAAGAATTAACTAATGAAGGTGATTATCAGAGCCTATTTCCAACCTCAAAGATCTTTCCCTTCTAGCCAATCAGATCTGAATTTCCCTCCATTTGCCCCCCAAACTCCTTTTCAGAACACCTTCTTATCATCCCAGGTTTATTCATTGAGGGAGAAGATCCTAAACCTGCCCCATTTTCTGTGACCCTCACTAAAGATAATTGCCCCTCTGATTTATGAACTTCCCATATTCACATAATCATTCCCATTCTTTTTGGAGGAGAAAATGAAGTCCTACAACTTGGTTCCATTCAAACTAAAAGTCTATGGGCATTAGTTAAGAATGAAATCATCTCTGCTTCATCTTTTGCACTAATTACACATTGCTAATATTTTGTTTTCTGATTTTTTAAATTCATTTTGTTACCATTAATCTACAATTACATGAAGAACATTATGTTTACTAGACTCCCCCTTCACCAAGTCCCCCCCACAAACCCTATTACCCTCA